GAGTGGGAGTCTGGGGAGGAGCAGTGTGCTGTGCTGGTCCCAGGTGGGATGGGAAGAGCTGGATGCAGGGAATGGAGCATGTGTGCTGGAAACACGCAGAGCAGTGATCTAAGGGCTGAGATGAGCCCAATTTATCAGCCTGCTAGCTTGGGGGCCTGACTGTATTAATGCCAAAGGGACAAGAAAACCCATCCATTTTTATCTAACAACCTTGTTTTCTCCTTTTCAGACAAACCTGACTGAGCTGAGGTCCTTTGGGTCACCTCCTCCTGCCGTCAGCAACGTCACCGCAGCCGTCATGGTGCTGACGGCCCCAGGAGGGAAGATCCCCAAGGACAGGAGCTGGAAAGCAGCAAAAGTCGCCATGGCCAGGGTGGATGCCTTCCTGGACTCCTTGGTCAAGTTCAACAAGGAGAACATCCATGAGAACTGCCTCAAAGCCCTTCAGCCCTACCTGGAAGACCCCAAGTTCAAGCCTGAGTTGGTGGCCACCAAGTCGTACGCGGCCGCAGGGCTGTGCTCCTGGGTGCTGAACATTGTGCGCTTCCACCAGGTGTACTGCGAGGTGGAGCCCAAGCGACAGGCCCTGAGCAGGGCCAACGCCGAGCTGGCAGCTGCCCAGGACAAGCTGGCCAGCATCAAGGCCAAAATTGCTGTGAGTGCCCTGTGGTGGGACCTGTCAGGCTAGACGGTGCCTGGGGAGAAATCCTCTGCTTGAGGGAAAGCTTCTCTGCACTGCTGTTTTTAAGGGCAGGGTAGGAATCCAAAGGTTTGGGGCTGTAGGGATTTCTGTCCTTTCTATTGCACTTCCAGCTTGGAAATCCAACTCTGTCCCGGGTTTGTTCCCACAGTGTGGGCAGCAGGTATGGGGGGATTCTGCCACTCTACTCTGCCCTTGGGAGACCCTCAGGCCCCAGCACAGGAAGGGCATGGACCTGCTGGAATGAGCCCATGGAGATGCTCCAAGGTGCTCCACACCCCTGCTCTGGATCTGGCTGGGAGAGTTGTGGCTGTTCAGCCTGGGGAAGAGAAGGCTCCGGGGAGACCTCAGAGCCCCTGCCAGTGACTCAAGTCATACATGATACATTTGTAATGATTATTGAAGGGAAAACTTCAGGAATTAGCCAAAAATATCTATGTGTGTCAGGCAGGCAGAGGAGTGGAGAGGAGATGCTGTTTTGCCAGAATTTTTTTCTCTTTTAATGCACAAAAGGAAAAATGGTTGGATGCCCCATCCCTGGAAGTGTTCAAAATACCAGGTTGGATGGGGCTTGGAACAACCTGGGCTAGTGGAAGTTGTCCCTGCCCATGTCAGGGGTTGGAATGAGCTTTGCTTTAAGTTCCCTCCAACCCAAACCATCCTGTGATTCTATGATTCTGTGATGGGATATTGCTGCATTGTTCTCCTCCAGCCTTCCCTGCACCTGAAGAGGAAAGCTAATTATTAATTCTTATTATTCCCACCTAGTTTTTGAAAAGCAATTTGCCTGTGCTCATGGGTCCTTGGGGAACTCGTGATCTCAAAGCAGTCTGTGCCCAGCGTGCCACACAGGGCAGGGCAGAGGCACTGGGGGCTCCGAGCTGGCCCAGCTCTGTGCTCAGTCCCTGGGGACATGCAGGTTTTGCAGGCTGACAACTGCTCTAGCAGGAGCTCGTTTGTCACAGCACAGCTTCCTGGCAGCACAGCTTGCACATTGTTTGGATTTTTGCTGCTTAAAAACCAATATAAATTGAAACAATCTCCAAATAGAGGAAATTACAGCGTGACTACAAGTGCATTTCCACAGGGCAGAGCTGCAGGTCTTCAGTGCTTCCTTCCTAAGGGTAGAGTGTGGAACAGCCAGGAGCACCCCACCAGCTCCCATCCCTGGGTGCTCTCCAGGTCCCCCCTGGCTGGCATGAGGGTGCTCTGGCTGTGGGACATTCCTTGGGAGTGGGATCCCCTCCCTGGCCAGGCTGTGGGACCCATGAGAGGCTAAGGGACACTCGTGAGGTGCAGCAGGTGCCTCTGCTCCCCTCACCTGAGTGCTCACCCCTTCCACCAGCACAACTCCCTGTTAGAAGACACATCTCTCCTTTGATGTTTCCAAGGCCTTATTATCCTTAAAATGCTTACTACACTTTTTAACTCCAAATACAAAAACTCTGTGCTGAGCCCTCTGGTCATCCCTTCCTGCTGCAGATCAAAGGAGCACCTGAAGCAGGCATGGATTTAGAGGGATTTAGTGTCTAATTCTCCCACCTCAGATGTGCAATACAGTGCTGGGGAACTTTTTTCATCCCTTTATGCTGCTCTTTTCCAAAGCTTTTAATGCCTGAGCTTTTCTTTTCCCCTCTTTTTTTCAAAGGAGTGGGATTTTGTTGAAGCAAATGGCAATCTTTGGGGAGATTACTGGCACTCCTCTGGCATGCACTTACAAAACTGCCTGGTTTAGGTGCATTTCCCCCTCTGCAGATGGGTAATGATGCACAGCTCAGCGTGGGATGGATGTGGAGGTATATCCTTGCTTATCATGCTGGGCTATCTTGGACAGCTTCACTGATGTGTGGCTGATTCATACCTGCTCACAGCTGGGCCTCAAGCTGTCACACACCATTTTTAGTCATAAATGAGACTATTCTGATCGTCTGAAACACTTAATTACCTTTTCCTTTCCTTTGCCTGCCTGGGTATAAGGTGCTGTGGACCTGGAGTGGGAGAGGTAGAAGCACGAGGTGTGTCTGTGTGGAGTGTGCCTGGTGGGGCCCTGCAGGTCTGCTCTGTTCTTCACACCAGATACATGCACATATGCTATAGATGCTCAGTCACCAGTGACTTGTAAGGTGGGATTTGGTGTATATGAGCCTTTGTAGGCACATCCATCCATAGGCACCCGGGATCAGAAAGTTAATGTGTTGTTGATTCCAGGGAAGGCCAAGGAGAGGCAGCTCTGTGTTCACTGGTAGCCAGGAGAGCTGCAGACATCCCTAATATCATCCTTTTTCATTTCCAGGTTTGTTTCTAGCATGTAACACAATGTTCAAGTGATGTACAAGCAGTTTAGCCTTGAGCAGTCTGCATTGGGTTCAGATAAAATCAATTATTACTTCTCCTATCAGAAGTGAAACGATCCAAGTGCTTGTGGGAGCTGCTGATTTGGTTTAGAGCAGAGTGTGAGCAGCTCTGTCCAAGCAAAGGGCTCTTCAGCTTCTTCTCCAGGTGGTTTGGCCTCTCTCTGTCCCATCCCAGCCCTGAAGTGACCTGCGTGGGAGATGGGCCCACCTTGCTGGGGGTGCTGGTACAAACTCGGGAGACTTTTGGAGCAGAACAAGTTTATTGACGTGTTATATTCCTTTCTGAAACAGTGTGAAGGTACAGCTTTGAGGTGGTTCAGCCATGCCTCCAGCTGCTCCTGGAGCCCCTTGGGGATTTGAGCACAGCTTGGGGAATCAGCAGAGCCTCAAGGACTGGTCTGAAACCAAGGAGCAGCAGCATCAGGAAATACTGAATTGGGTTTCCTTTGGGGTTCCTCAGCTGCCTCCTCATTGCTCAGCTGTGGCACCTGTCACTGGGGCTTACCCACAGGGATCTCCGTGCCCAGTTTGAATTCATACCAGGGCAGAGCCCCAAATAAACCAGTTGTACATGTCCTGTGCCTCTGCCCTGTGCCAAGGAGGTGAATTACAGGCAGTAATACAGCTCAGCCCAGTGCTGCTCCGTGCTGGCTCCTGGGGCTGTGCAGGGGCTGTGCTCTGGGCAGGTGAGCTGGGCTGAGGCTTGGCCACCCCTGCCACAGGCTGAGTCAGTTCTGGAGGGGGTTTGCCTTAGGGTCATCGAATCCCAGAATGGTTTGGGTCAGAAGGACCTTAAGCTCATCTCATTCCACCCCTGCCCTCGGCAGGATCACCTCCCACCAGCTCCAAGCCCCATCCAAACTGGCCTGGAACACTCCCAGGGATGGAGCAGCCACAGCTGCTCTGGGCAACCTGTGCCAGTGCCTCAGCACCTCACAGGGAACAATTCCTTCCCAAATCCCATGTACCCCTGCCCTCTGGGTCCTGTGTCCCTCCAGGCCCTTGTCCCAAGTCCCTCTGCAGCTCTCCTGGAGCCCCTTTAGGCCCTGGAAGGAGCCTTCTCTCCTCCAGAGTAAAACACCCCAGCTCTCCCAGCCTGGCTTCATGGCATCTCTGCCCTCAGAGCACCTCTGTGCCCTCCTCTGCACTCCAGCAGCTCCACACTTTTTCTTGTGCTGTTATAACTATGCTGTGACTTTCTCCATCTTTCAGCGCCTCAATGAGAACCTGGGGAAGCTGACAGCCAAGTTTGAGAAGGCCACTTCAGACAAACTCAAGTGTCAGCAAGAAGCTGAAGCTACAGCGTGTACCATCGCTCTTGCAAACCGCCTGGTGAGTGGCACAGATGCAGCTCTGATGGCAGGAGAGGGAGGAACCAGGTGCTGAGATGTGCACACAGTATGTTACATCCTCTCATTTCTTTTGGAGTACATTTCCTGCACTGCAGCAAGTTTCAGGAATGATAATGCTTTCTCATACATCAGGGCAGCTCTGCTCCTGTTTAAAGGGATTTACTCTGCTCTCTTCACATCTCTCAGCTCCTTTGTGTGGTGTAAATGTGTGATCACCAATGGGCCTAAACTATATGACCTAAAAATTGTATTGCAAAACCAAAGGTGGGAACATGCCTGGAGTTTTGCAGGTTTTGAAATGAGAAAATTTGGACTGAAAGCTCTCTAAAAACAGCACCTGTCCCTGCACCACTGTGGGGTCTGCAGTCCCAGTCCTCTGCATGTCAAGGCTGAAGAGACATAAGAGACTGAGAGGCAATATCTGCTGTTCTCACTACCCCTTAGCTGGAGCCTCAGCTCCCACCCAGTGCTGCAAACGCCCTTAATGCTTTGTGTTTTGGCTTCTGCACTGGCTGTTAGCTTGGAGGCAGTTCCTCCTCCAAGCAAGGACTTGGGGCTGCAGGCCTGGTGTGTGCTGAGCTGTGCCCTGGCAGGGGAGGGGATGGAACTGGTTCCAGCAGCTGGTTCTGCTGTCCCAGGCAGCACTGGCATTGCCTCGGTGAGAGCCCCCAGAGGTTTTCCTGTGAGGGTGGTGAGAGGTTGCCCAGGGAAACTGTGGCTGCCCCATGTGTGGGGGTGTTCCAGGCCAGGCTGGATGAGGCTTGGAGCCACCTGGGCTAGTAGAAGGTGTCCATGGAAGCAGTGTGGAGTGAGATGAGCTTCACCCAAACCATCCATGTTTCTGTGATTCTATGACACCACATTCCAGGCCACACTGGTTCCATCTCTTCCCCAGCCTGGGAACAGCTTCCAACCTAAACGATTCTATAACTCTAAGCTGTCAAAAATCCATCCTTTTTGCAGAGTATGCAGGGAACCATTTGCATCCCAACTTCCCACTGTGCACTGCACACTGTCCTGTGCCATCCTGGCTCGGATCTAGGAATAGCTGCTGACAGGCCTCACTCTGATGTGCAGTTTGCATTCAGGCTGTGCCACCTGTGTGTCTGTGGCCAGAAATAAGTTTGAAATGAGCCCATTTGAGGCTGTATCAAGGGTATAACTAAGTGAATACAGAGTGATGCTTTGGATTGACAATGGAACCTGAGGGATATAGGCAAACCCAACTCTTACGGTGCCAGATTGGCATCTCAGCAACTCCAGATGACCTAAGGGAGATGCTCCAGGACATGAGCAGCAGAAGGGGAGGCTGGTTGGTGGGAGGTGTCTGGGACTGAGGCTGTGCTAATGTGGCAGAGAAAATGCAGTGCTGACAAATGCAAAGCGATGTGAGCAGGGAAAACAAACGGTAATCATGCAGTTACATGGATGAGCCTAATTGCACTATTATCCCTCACAGAAGAGCTCTTGGATTCGTTGCAGAGAGTTCTCAGGAACAGCAATGTGGCACTTGAGGAGGAGAGACAAATTGGCTATTAGTACTTGGTAGAAAAACTCAGCAGAAGTTTAACATCACTGTATCAGGTTGTCAGTGCCTCCATCCCATAGCTGTCACCCAGCTCAGGGGGCTGTAGGCAACCAGAAAACCACAACAAATATATAACCACTTCCATATGTGAACACAGGAACTAGATTAGACTCTTCAGTTTGGAAAAGAGACAGTGCAGTGGGGGTGGATGTGGCAGGAGCCTCTGAAATCATGACTGGTGTGCAGAAGGTGACTGGGGTATGGTTGTCCACTGTCCCTCATCAGCACAGAGCTGAAGGAATTCAGATGAGATGGGTTTTAACTTGCTCCTTGCTAGACAAAAAGAATTCCAATGACTTCTAGGATCTGAGGTGGAAGGCACCTGGGATGTGCTGAAGATACTGAAAACAGCCCTAAGAAAGGCAGATGTGGTCCTCATCCTATCACCAGCAGCTTTCTAGCAAGGCTGAGGAGACATCAGCATGGGCTGAGATCCTCCAAAGGCACTGGGGAACCTCTGCAGCAATGTGAGGTGGTGCTGGTTCCTGGTCACGAGAGAGCAGCTCAGCTGGGGCAGGTTTAGGGACAGCTCTGAGGCTGATGGGCCAAAGAAAACTCCTCTTGGGAGGAGCAGAAACTGCACAGAGGCAGCTTTCCCTGCTTCAAAGGGGCAGTTTTAGCAAGACAGAAAGGCCAACAGAGATGTTACTGCAGGTGTGTGTTAGTTCATGTGTTCATCCGACTGCCCAGAGAAGCTGTGGCTGCTCCATCCCTGGGAGTGTTCCAGGTCAGGTTGGATGGGGCTTGGAGCAACCTGGGCTGGGGGAAGGTGTTGCTGCCCATGGCAGGGGTGGAAGGAGATGATCTTCAAGGTCCTTTCAATCCAAATCAGCCTGGGATGGTGTGACATGATTTCACAGTAGTGACACAGGCTGTCTGTAAAGAACTGTAAAAATTATCCCAGGTGATGGATGAATGAAACACCATAGCAATATCCACCCCAGGCAGATAAATATAATGTAATATACATTGGAAAAATCAGATCTTACTTGACATGCCCTTTAAGTAGTGCTTGAGCTGGTTGTTATCACTCTGGAATGAAAGGATGGAGTTCTGTAAGTAAAAAACCCTCACCAAACTCCATCTGAAACTGGATGTGAGGGTTTATTATGGAGAGAACAAACCAGAGAACAATCCCCATGCCTCAGTATGAATACATCCTAAATAAATCTTGAGTGTGCAGCATTGGCACCACTCCCTCTGCTGCACCTCAAAGGCTGGGGGAGAATGGGAGATGGTGCAGAGAGGGCAACAACAAAAAGAAACTGGATAATAAAGATTGCATCATTCAGCACAGATAAAGATTGCACGGAGAATCAAAAGGCTCCTTCTGTGTGAGAAATTATTGAAGAGGCTAAAGCTCCTCAACCTCAAAAGGAGAGAGCAGAGGGGTATTGAGGGCTTGAAATCCTGAGTGGTGCAGAGAAACTGGCACCAGCAGGATTGTTCCCTGCTTTTCCACAGGTTTTAGCAATGGAACAGTTCAGGCAGCAAATCAAAGGCTGTGCTTTGGTACAGGAAGCACAGCTGAACTCTCTGTCTCCTGCCACAGGATGCTGTATGTGCCACGAGTATGGTTGGTATCCACTGTAGCATAGGCTGTCGTGGAGGGGAAAATCATCTGTTCAGCACAGAGACACAAACTCTGGGGCAGAAGGGCCTTAGACCTGCAGCTGTGGGAGCTGGAAGGGGTGTCGGAGCTGTTTCCAGGTACTCATGTGTGCAGTCTGTCCAGGCTAAGGGCTGTGCCCAGCAGATGAGGAGCTGTAGGAGGCGACCCATGGGTCAGCCCTGCAGAGCTGTTCCTGAGGGGAACTAGATCAGCTCCTTGGCTTAGGCAAGCAGAGCACATCCCTTAGGAAATCCTGTGTGTTTCTCCAAGGATCAGGAGGCACATGAGGGTGAGAGGAGAGCTGGTTGAGCTGGAGTGGCTGCAGGAGAACCAGTGGCATGAACTGGCCAGGAGTCAGCTTGTGTTGGGATGTGAAGGTGGTTCTGACCCTCAGGAGGCAGCAAGACTCTGCTGGATTTGACTTGGTCAGATTGGACTTGTGACTGTGGAATTCAGTGCCTTCCCATCCTGGGGATCTGTGTCTGCACAGCAGCTTAAGATGGAAAAATAACCCAGTTCAGGGGGATGAGTTATCACAGAGTTGTGTTCAAGCTGGGTCTGCTTGACGTTGAACCTGGAAGCAGAGGACACATCCGTCATGTTTGCACCACTCCTTGCCCTGGGAGGTTTGCAAAAGAGAAGATTATAGAGGAGTTTATAGTAAAAATGAGAAATATGAGAATTAATAACCGTGAGCTCATGTGAACTGTGGGCTGAGGAAGAAAAATAGGAAGTGCTGTGTTCCCTGGGAGCAGAGAGGAGCTGTATGTGTGCACGGGTGTTTCCAGAGCTCCTGCACAACAGCAGAGTGATCAAGAATTGAACCATAAGCTCTGGAGTTCTCTACCTCAAATTCATGAGTTCAGCTTAAAATTGGTTTGGGACTTTCTGGCTTGTGAGCCTCAAGTTTGCATTCCATTCCTATTTCCAAAGGTAGCCCAAAAAGTGCTGATGGTCAAATCAATTGTGCATGTAGAGATACCTTATCTCACAGGGAGATGTAAAGCCCACCTGGGTGTTGAGTGCTCATGAAAAATGGCTTTGAAAGCATTTTCTAGACAGACCTTGAGGGAATTGTGATCCAAACAACATGTACCTGAGGTGCTAATGAATTGTGTGAAAGAGCTGAAGGCTATGGAGAGCTGTGTGTGAGAGAGGGTGTGAGGAGGTGGGAACAGTGGCATTTAAGCAGTGAAGAGCTGATGAGCTGCCTCAG